AAATTATAAAATATAATATATATATCGCTGAATTTTTCTTGAAATTTTAGTACCATTTGGGAAAAAAATGAACTAGCGTAGCCTAACTCAATCGTTACCTAACTTAATTCGTAAAAAAAAACATATTAAACTTTCAAAGAAATCGAAGAATTGAAATTTCAGCGAAACAAATTTTGTATTCAAAACCGAAATTATAAAAAAAAAAATCTTAATCATACTATTTAATGATGACTTTATTTGTTTTGTAACATCCGAATATTTTATTGTACAAAAGGCCACTGTCGCGTCATCTATAAATACCGAGTTAAAACATAATTAATATAACGAATTAATAAACAGTGGGTCATCAGTGGAATTAAACCCTTATTCGTTATACTAGGTCTCGTGCAATAAACAAGACATACAATTATTCAGTATGTTTACTTAATTCTGAAATAAGATCAATACAATAGGTGAAGAAATGTAGAAGTTTTTTCAAAACTTAGAATATTATAAATTGGTTCCGTTATCGTGATGAAACAAGATTTTTTTCTGAAATAAGATCAATACAATAGGTGAAGAAATGTAGAAGTTTTTTCAAAACTTAGAATATTATAAATTGGTTCCATTATATTTAATTAGATATAATATCATTCTTATATTCATGGGCAATTCAATGATAAAAATTTTATCAAATCAAACTTTTTTTTTTAATTAGTGGACAGACAGACTGAAAATTTTTCCTCGAGATTTTCATGTTCCATACGCAGTAATAAATGTTAATCGTTTAATTAAATTGATATGTGATTCACAAAAACTCTCGAATTTTATATTTATCTAAGGATAAAAAGGAAATAAAGTTTAGCTAACTTATTAATAGCAATGCGGATGTTCGAAGCTTCCATAAGTCGCAAGTGTCTGTATTGATTATCAAATTAAAAGCTTCGACATTCTATCTTGATTAAAAAAAGAGTGCGGAATGATTGACCACACTGCTCATGTTTGTGGCTAAAACGCACGCTTTATGAATATATGTATTTACGCTAGAAACACTCAAGTTCCAGGAGTTCCGCATTGCACAAGTATCGTGGATGTATGTTCTTGAGTGGTATCAAATGAAAGTTACATGTCTGTATGTTCACAAAATTCAAAAACATAGAAAACCCTCATTGTGGCACAGTTTAAATGAGTAAAAGGCAGGGATATTTTGAGTAAATCAGTGAGGTATTGTGAAACTCTGATTGAGAATATTAATGCTAATTTTAAATATTAAAAGTTTTTTCAATTTTTAACTCAGTAAGTGCAAAAAATATGGCATTTGAGAATTGCGTCTCTGATACAAAAATCTTTATCGAGAAAGCACTTGTAAGTACTTGGTACTTGGGCATAATAATTGTTTTATATTTTGTATAAATTGGAATATTATTTGTTTTTGGATTATTCAAAAGTTTGCTAATTTTAAATATTAAGAGTTTTTTCAATGTGTAACTCAGTAAGTGCAAAAAATATCTTTCATATTTTTTTATTATGTACACTATTTTTGCTACATGGTAAAGTTGTATTACTACAGAGTAATTATTTTTGGAATTATATGTCACAAGAGCGTTCTATAAACTGAGGTAGCTTTTACTTTTACTATTCTAGCAGTAATTAAAGTACATAAGGAAAATATACAACTTTTATTCACATTATAAAGTATACATCAAACATAATTCAATGCATATAACAATGGCAACGGTTGAATAATAAGCCAAATACTGAATACATTATGCTAACTTTTAATTGGAACAGGAGCATTGGATTTTGATGCTCTAAAAAGAAAATTATGATAAAAAATGACACACACAAAAGTTCTCTCTTAAGCAAAAACAACTGGAAAGTTTCATTCTCAATAATAGTGTAGCATTTTCCTAAATGGTAATCAAACTTTCAAGGTGTTTTTAATTTTTAATAAACATTCAAAGGTCTTCAAGTTATTGACTCACTTTAGGCTTTCATTATGTGACTTGTATTCCATGGTGGCATTCATTGGTAGATTAAGAAGTCTTTTTAATGCATCTCTAATCCTGGCTGTTGTTGCTTGATCAGATGCTGTTCGATTCCAAATACTGAGTAAATCTTCTTGATATCTTACAGAAACTACTACACCACATATCTCATTGCCTGCCTACAAAGAAAGCTTTCCATTTTTATCCAAGTTAACATAAATGGGCAATAATAATGTCTGCTTACCATAAACTGTTCTCCTAACATAGCCATACAAAGATTTTCCCAGGCTCGAGGTGCATATCCTTTTTTAAGTCTTATAACCTTTAAGAATTGTCTAGTTAGATATACTCAACTTTAGTAAGCCATTTAAAAAAATCAAATTTAAGCTACATACCCATTTGCCACCACGCATATTTGCTGAATCTTCCCACATAGGCTGTATCCCTTTTTTAAAAAGGTGTAAGTCAGTATGTGGAGGGAGATCTTGTAATCGCACTAAATGACTATATAAACCCCACCACTGTTCTACTGTTCCAATTTGACCAACTAACCGAAGAATTTGACTGTATCCCTCTGTTCCTCTAAGTTGCGAACTGCGAACTAAAGGGGGCCGTTTTGAAAACCATAAACAATAAGAGTGTTGCAATTTGTGTTCGCCTGGAGGATACTCAATTGGCCCTAAATCAACAGAATTATTTGTAGCGTCATCTTCGCTACTACCACTGTCTGATCGATCTGAGTTCTCTAGCTGTTGTTTAAGCCTGAAACATTACAGTTTTTTGAAAAGGTCAATACAGAACCTGTTACTTACATATCAAACTTATTGGTCATTTTTATAATTAGCTGGTAATTAAATAATTTAATAAGTAATATCACTAAAATGGTTGTAATAATAAAACTTATTTTTACAGGAACTTTAACCTAGAATTGCTTTTATAAATGTTTAATATAAACAAACTACAAAAACCAGGAAAAGCACAACATCGACTAACAGATGACTTATTATTGTTGTTATTTTAACTATAACCTATTACTAATCCTTCCTTTTTTAACACTATTCCCACAGAATCAGGATGCCAGGAAACTAGAAAAATTTCAATTAGCATATTGGCAATAATTTTAACCACAGATAGGTTTGAAATCCACAGATTTAAATTTGTAACTTTATAACCTATGATTTATAACCTAATTGCAAATTGCATCCAAATTCCAATAAAAATGAATATTTTATCTGTGCATGATTTAAATCACTTCATATCAAGTTGAAAAAGGTCAGTGTTTATTATTAAATTACGTGCAGTATTTATTAGTTGTAAGGTCCATCCAATTTATATTATTTATTATTACTTTTGCAAATTGTATCAGGTATGTAACAACTTATCAGTATGCACGATTTTACTTATAGGTAATAATTTCCTACTAGCCTTGATATACTTACAGAGAGAACACATGTACATATTAACGCATAGTTTTACCTGCAGGCAAATACCTTACTTAAATCAGAGACTTAAATTTTACTACTTTCACTATTATTGATATGTGATCAAAGTTCCTTAACGAGACGCGACCTTCAAGCATTTTAACCAGTACGTATATGGTTAGTATGTAAGAGTAGGTGGTTGAATAATTATCAATATCACTGAAATATGGTATTATTGATATTTAGTCTAAATGACCATTTATGGTGATACATTAAGTGATAACAGTTTAGTTTGATTTAGACAATCCTATAAAGAATGAGTAACAAATTTTTAAATAATGTGTCTAACATATTGGAGACCTATAAAGGTCGTGATAAAGTAAGTATGCTGTATTAAATTATATCAAATCTGTACCAATAATAATTCATTTGAAAAGGTTCTGAAAACCCTTTGCTATGGAGCAAGATTTATAGGAGGATCAAAGAAAGATGAATTGTCTACACGTTTGAGAAGATTTGGTTCAGAAATGTCAGCAGCTAGAGCTGTATTACGATTGTTAGATGATGCTTCTACAATATCTTATGTGATAGAGTACAAGTTAGGTCAAAATGTAAAAATCCCCTATTTTCAAAATTTTTGTGTAAATAAGAAATTTTTAGGAGCCTGATAGAGTTATGGCTGTTCTAGGATTTTTAGGAAATTTAGCAGATTTAATTTATTGTCCTATTGACAAAATTTGTTGGCTTGGGTCTACCAAATTAATTAATGTGAAAGATGTGGAGTATTATGATAATATTAACACTCTCTGTTGGGTGTTTTCTGTATATTTTTCTCTAATGAGGCAAGTTATTCTATCTTTACCATTTCAGCAGTTTATTTACGATTGGATACCAATTAAAAATACTTTCGTTTTATATAAAGCATTAAATAATTTATTTTTTAGAAACTTATGGTATTTGAGAATTCTGTCTCTGACACAAAAATCCTTATCGAGAAAGCACTTGTAAGTACTTGGTACTTGGGCATAATAATTGTTTTATATTTTGTATAAATTGGAATATTATTTGTTTTTGGATTATTCAAAAGTTTGCTAATTTTAAATATTAAGAGTTTTTTCAATGTGTAACTCAGTAAGTGCAAAAAATATCTTTCATATTTTTTTATTATGTACACTATTTTTGCTACATGGTAAAGTTGTATTACTACAGAGTAATTATTTTTGGAATTATATGTCACAAGAGCGTTCTATAAACTGAGGTAGCTTTTACTTTTACTATTCTAGCAGTAATTAAAGTACATAAGGAAAATATACAACTTTTATTCACATTATAAAGTATACATCAAACATAATTCAATGCATATAACAATGGCAACGGTTGAATAATAAGCCAAATACTGAATACATTATGCTAACTTTTAATTGGAANTCTATCTAAATCATTTTATTTTATTAATCAACTTTTATTAGCCATTCAGTACTTTGTTTATTAACCATTAGTTGTAATGTTTGCAAATCAACAGGAAAACTTAATTTAATTTCCAGGGAATACTCAAATTTGGATAAACGACGTAAATATGAGATTCTCACTTGTGTTCGTTTAACACTTGATTTATTGCATGCTGTAAATTCTCTACCTCCAGGTTTTTTGTGGTCGTCGAAGTTTAAAGCGTGGCAAGTAGGTTTAATAGGAACCATATCGGGGATGATAAGCCTTTTCCAAATGTATTCAAAAAAATGAAATTAATAATACATATTTTTATACAAATATCTATTTGTTTTATTTTACTCTAGTTATTTATTTTAAAAATAGGAATATATTTAGCTAGGCATTAATTAATTTATGTTTATATTGGGAAGAACAATTGTAACATTTAAATTTTTAAATAAACAAGTTGAGTAAGATATAGTCTATAATTAATAACTCCTATGCTGAAGTGTACGCTGTGTTGCATACCTATTTACAAACAATTCCTTTAAATTTTAATCATTGATATACTATAAGTATATCTATTAAAAAACCATGATGGCCGACATCAGTGACAATGCGACAACAATTGAAAAAATGATGGCCGACAACTGCAACAATTAAAAAGAATGATGGCCGACAACTACAACAATTAGAAAAGAATGATGGCCGACACTACGTCATAGAGGAGCAATAAAAATGGCCGGGGGCAGGGGGAAGAACTAGTTTAAATTAATGTTAATTTTTTCAGCAAATATTAAATGCGCATTTTCCTATTTCAGCGATTTTTAATATAAGTATGCTTGCGATTTCTTCCAGTTTATTAGAGCTGGATGTTTAATTACTAATATCGCCGTCACTCTTTTCTGCCCACTGGGTAACTTTTCTAAGTACATTTGAAGCGTTTACAGGTATACCTAATAGAGATATATTAAACAAGTCAAAATTTTTCCACTACTTCAGAAATACCGATTTTTAAGGCCAATGGGCATTCGTTTCTATTAGCGAAGGTTTTCAATGTGTTCACGGTATAGGGTGGCCTAATGCAATTATAATTCCGTTATGCGATATCCACACTGTCTCATATCTTTTGTGAAATTAATTAAGAATGTTGTTAACGGTTTTTTGGTAATAAGAAAAGTAAATTGACATCTGCTATAGGGTTTATTAGTAATAATCATCTACAGTTGAACAGTAACAAGTTGTACAGGAATAAAGGAGACTTATTAAACATAATAAGTTCACAGCACACAATACACTTATTCCAAGTAAAATATCAACTAAAACTACCTGTCCAATCTTGAACCTGTTGATACCATCACATATCAGGAGCAGCACAAAAAATACACTAAGTTGTAAATAATAATTATTTAAAACTTAACATGTTTAGCTCTCCTATGAACTAGGAAAAAGTCCAAAATTTTTCAGGAAACGGTTTCTTATTTTCAAGTAAAATTTTGTTTTATTGTAGTTACATTGCATTTATTGTGCGTTAATTTGGGATTGTAACAAGCGTTGATATTCTTCAATAATTATTATAAAAAGCAATTATATTTTATAAGCACCATTATAGTTGTAATGATATTTTGATAAATCGTAAGTTATTTTTGAAAGATTGTAAACTAAAAATAAGTCAACTTTTGAGTTATAATTATAATTTGTTTTTTCTGTATTGCACAGTTAGACACTATAAACCATCTTGGTATATAAAAAACAATATTAATTTTTTTATATCACAAATAAATAACACTCTTTTAATGTATTCCTCGATCGAGAATAACGAAAGCTAAAAAGTTGTTTCGATAACTGAATGGTAATACTTTATGTATAATTCAGTACCATCCCCGATTAGCTTTTTCTTTTTTCTCTCTTGTCTCATCCTCAATTCTATTAACTGTATAAAATAGTTGACTACAAATAGTAGATAAATAGACTACTTTATAAGGACAGGGATTACATTTTTACATATTTTTTTATGTTTAAATACTCGTGTTACACGTCTGAAGATTAGATTATTACCTAAGAATCGATCCTAGTTCGTCTTTATGGTGGGAGAAGTGCATGAAAGATCGACTGGATGTTAGACTGCGTGCCTGAAAAAAAAATCATAAATAAAATTTTTTTTTTTTAACATCTCCATCTTCTATGCTCGCGAACGGTTAATTTAGAAAATCGAAAAAGGTTGTTAAAGATGTATGTTTGGAGCGCGGCGTTGTACGGGTGCGAAACATGGACAGTGGGAACGGCGGAAAAGAATAGGTTAGAAGCATGCGAAATGTGGTGTTATAGGCGAATGATGAGGATAACGTGGATAGAAAAGGTTAAAAATGAGGAGGTATTAGAAAGAATAGAACAGAGGATTCTATGGAAGTCAATAAAAAATAGGCGAGATAGGTTGGTAGGACACTTTCTCAGGCATGAAAGTCTAGTCAGAGACATATTAGAGGCAGAAACAGGAGTTAGGAGGGGTAGAGGTAGACCTAGGTTAGCTTACTGTTCACAAATAGTTAAGGATATGGGTTGTTCTAGTTTTAGGGAAATGCGAAGTTTAGCTCAGGATAGGAAAGAGTGGAGGTACGTGTCCAACCAGTCTTAGGACTGACGACTCTATGATGATGATGAACATCTCCAAACGATTGTCCACTCCTCTTTACTCTAAAAGACCTAACCTTTTGGTATAAGAGATACATTTCTTTATTAGTCCGCCAATTAAAATTAATATGATTACCATACCTTTTCAGTTTGTGTTGCCGCATTAGACGTTTCCGCTGAAATGTTCTGCGGAAGTGACGTTGCTTCCTTGTTTTCGTGTAGTTCAACTAAAGCACGTTCCTTGTCTTCTAATTGTCCTTGCAGAAACAAAACTTGTCTTCTAAGATCATTATTTTCCATCTTATAATTATGGATCTCTTCGGCGTATTTAGGTAAATTAGTTTCTTGCGAACTTCCGCCGTTCTCTATCATGGGTGGTGTTTCAAACTACAGAAATAAATAACCATTTTGTAATTACAAATTAGGAAAAGACATTTCATCCCGCTACTCCCCAAGACCCCCCTCGCAGCATAACGTCATAACAACGGCCCCTATGTATTAGAAAACAATTTTGGTTTTGCCCATTTTCAATACAAACCTCCAATAAAACTCCGCGCAATCGGGTCAGCATGTCTTTAAAGGCAGAGACATCTTGAAGAATTTCTGGATTACAAATAATTTGACTGGATTCGATTGAATTGCGATCTGAAAGTTCCAGTTGTGCACATCTTTTTGGGCTTCCAAATAATTTCACTTCGGTAACTCTTGCGTGGTGTATAGGCGAACTCGAATGCTTAGGGGAGAAGTCCAAAGCCTTTGCTCTTGATTTTAAAAAACGAGTAGAAACTACGTCCCTGAAAATACTTACTGTATAATATGAAATGTTATTTAGTCTTACACGGTGGTAATTAAATTAATTTTTGGTCCATCTGTCACTGCATATATTACATGTTTCTGCATAATTTGGGGTGATTTATATTATAAAAAGGGTACTGAACATTTACAAAGTAGTAAAACTTTCGAAGTATAATACTGAAAATGATTTAAACGGAGTGAATATAATGACAATCTTTTTTCGTTTGTATGTGTATTAAAATAAATTTAAGTACAGGGAGGGGCTTAAAACGATTGTGTTGGGAAATATTTTATTGAACTTTACTTTGTTTTATAATAATGATTACATTTACTGTTTCTGATTTAACATTTCAAGACGTTGAAACTTCATTCTGAAAAAAGCAGTTATTACTTCATCAACGTCAATGTGGCATACGTATACAAACAAAACTCTAATGATGGTAGACATATTTTATGTGGGAGATATTCATTAAATGTTTGTCTTACCTTCCCTTAATATAATTTACATTTTTTGTTGATATGAAATAAAAACCGAAAACGAACTGAAAGTTGTTAGGGTTGTATTTAAATGGAGTAATTGACAATTGGAAAATGTCTGACAATGTTGTTTATACTTACTTCTCTGTACTTTCATTATCATCATATTCACTGGTGTCCATGTTGTCGTAGTTCATCATTAGATCGTCAGATGAAATACTCTCGCAGGGCGAAAGAGTATCCAGGGAACTGGTTTTTTTATTCAACTTATTTTCTTTTAAAAACATCGTGTGATCATGATGTTCGTAGGTACCGTATTGAGTATTTTGCCTTTTCTTTCTCGGAGAATTGGTTAGTGACATCGAAGCGATCTCGTGAGATAAATGAGTATTTTGATTAAATACTAGGGCAGGCTGATCAGCGATCTCATCATCTATTAGAAATTCTTTGCCGTCTGAGAGAGAAAGAGACCCATTAGTTGGGGTGTTGGGAGACGTTTTTTCCTCACTTGGACTACTTTTATTACTTGTACAAGCTACTGCTTTATTTTTGATAATTATAGCGTCAACTTTGCCGTTCTCTTCTGATAAGCTGCAGAACAAACTGTCAGCTGGAGATTCATCTTCCAAAAGATTTCCTATTGCGTCTGTAGACTTTGCTACTGCAGCAAACACGGGGTCTTTTGTGGCCAATGGTAGGGAACTTGGGGGAACACTAAGTAATTCGTCGTCCTCGCCAGAAATCAAAAGTTTATCAAGTTTGTCATCTTCAATATCACAGACATCTTTCTCTTTACTTTCGTCACTAGAACTAAAACTACAACTAGCATCATCGGCCATTGTTTCACCAGCATTATCCCAATTGTAATGTTCAACTTTTTCACTTAAAACATAGTTGTTATCGATTAGTAATTTTTCCCGAGTATCTGATAAGAAATTCTTTGGAAGTTCGGTTTTGATGAAGGTTTTCTGTCGGACGTTATTGTGGTCTTTGCTCAAGTTTGTTATTTGTGGCGGTTTTTCATATTTCGTTATTGTGGGGTAGATATTGTGAGCATATTGGCGATTTGATTTTTGGGGTGAATTGTGGGGGTTTTTAAAACCGTTTTTATCAAGATTCGGCGAATCATCTTCAATGTTTGATGGTATGTGTGTGGACAATTCGTATTTATTTTGGCTTACGTTGTGATTGCTAAATGGAAGTCCACTTTTATTCGAATATGATTTAAATCTGGTTGATGGTAAAGTGTATCTGGATGTTCTCGAAGGAGACCCTTCGTATTTATTTAAAAGTGGTTCATTTAGATTTACTGTTTCTGGAAGCGAATAATATTTATCAGCGTTATCATCAACATCCACTTTGTGGCTTTCGAATCGGTTAGTTAGGAAATCGATTTTACTCGTCGTGTGAATATTCTGGTGTTTAAATGCTGTAGTCGAAGTTGGATTGGTTTCTACTTTGACATTTAGTCTTCTGTAAAGATTACTTGTCAAGAAAATTTCTTTGGGGTCGTATGATTTATTCTTATCGTCTTGTTCTGTCTTCTGTTTGTTACTATTGAGGAGCGTTTTCGATGATTTTAAGTTAGTCACATGAATAGGAATTTGTGGTTTTGGTAAATTGCTCGCAGATAAAGTGAATTTGCTGGCAGGAGGCGATAGGACGTTGTTATTATTGTTAGATTTTGGTTTGTTCGTATAATTAGATGTGTTAGTGTTCTTTTGCGTTTTCGGTTCTAGCGCCGAAAATCTTACTGTTTTTTGGACAGTGTCCTTATTCTTTTTTCGGGTCAGAGACGAAACGCCCAAATCATTTGTCGTCCTGTTCGTTAGACTGCTTGGTCGGGGTATCGTTTTTCTGTTGTCGTCTGTGTTTTTCTTTACGGGGTCATTTTGTCTAGTAAATTTAATGAACTTTGCAGTTTCATTACCGCACTTGTTCGCGTTTCGATCGGTGCTGAAAATCGAATTGTCAAGGGTCGATGAAGAATGTTGAGTTTTTGTCGCTGGGGCAGAAGAAACCCTTCGTTTAAAACCGAATGATATTGCCATTCCTTTAGTGAGTAGGGGAGGTTCCTTGGAGTTTTTTGAGTTCAACTCCTGAAAAGCAAAAATTGTTTGATTTTAAAAATGTACTTTCTTTATTATTATGTTATTCTACGATTTTATTGAATTTGATAGTACATGTTCTGTTTTATTTGACGAACTTTGTCTAAATATAGCAAATTATATCGTGGAAATGGAATTTTTGGTTGGTTTTTCTGTTGGGGTGACATTATTAAATAGTCTTTGCTGTTTGTTGTTATTTGCGGTGATTGTATTTAATCTTTGGGTGAATTGCGAAGATTTCACTTACCGGCATAGCCCTTATACATGAAATTAGAAACATTGTAATTGTGTATAAACCACTTCCAGAAGCGCTTTTTAAATAATAATATCACGAAATGTTTCCCGAATTTAAGGCATTTCAGGCTGTTGTTTTTTAATATCCAATAATATTCAGGTACTTTTAAAAATTAGATGAAACTGTTATAACACTAAAGAATTTCTCATGTTTTACTGCAAACTTAGTACACTTGCCGTATCAGTAACTGTAATAATTTCTTACACACATATTGCATCTACCTACGTATGTCGTACATGTACAGGCACAGAAACTAATTTATGAATTGTAAAACAATTATGAATCGAACGTTAAGAAATGCCTTTCACTACTGTTAATTTCCAGTTGCTAGTTGGAGAACTTACTTGAAGTAAAATTAATAATTTTAAGTTAGTCAAATCCCACTACGTGATTCGTATTCTAAGACTAATACCAATACTAAACGCTCTATACTAAATAAGAAGTGCTAAGGCCATTTATGTTGCCCAAATTGAGGTGTTTACGCCTTTAGAATTTTAAGTACGAATTAAACAATAGTTAGGTACCTATTTATTGACCATTCTCTAACCAAGTAGTTTTTAATAAGTCAATTGTAAAAAGTAAAAGGTATGAACGAAATATTTTAATAGCCTCTCTAGGAATCGTGTAGCTTTTAAACCTTTTAAATTACTTTTGCAAAAAATTTTCTGTGATAAACAGTTATAATCTGTGAAGATTTAGATGATGTTGGTTTTTTTATGATTTATTTTTAGTAATGGTATAGTAATTTTTTTGTTTAATTCACTGTACAGAAGAGTAGCAAAATAGGGGATGTAAATTTATTTTTGCAAGAGAGGAGAAAGCAGGGTTAATTTAATATAAAGATTTCGTTGAGCCTAACTTTCTCATAATACGCGCATCCTTATCTTCCGTTGTTAAAAGATAAGTGTTTCCTGTGTACCTTTGTTATCTGTATTAGGGAAAAGTATGCGGAAGCAGGTGTGTTCCAATTAAATAAAAAAAATCCAAGTTCAAAAACCGGTGAAGAAGTCTGTATACTTTTAAACTTGTTAGAGGTACTGAAAAAGACATAGGGTACCTTTTATCCAGAAAAAAGTACTCTGTTCCTGAAAGACAGAAAAATTAGTTTTATGCGATCGTCCATGATATTTGACACATATTTAGGATATAAACGCGAGCGAAATCATGAAATTTTGTACACACTTTGTGAGGGGGTACAAAACAGTACATAGGGTACCTTTTATTCAGAAAAAAGTACTTTGTTTTCGAAAGACAGAGAAATAAGTTTTATGTAATCGTCGATGAAGTCTTGGGTAAAACCTGGTACTATTAGTCTTTAACAAGTTTAAACAACTTTTTACGAAATATTGAAAACTGTTCAACAGGTTACTAGGCATATACCTACACAAAAATATATATTACTTTAAAAAGTTTTGCTACTATTATAAACAGAAAAACGAGTAGAGTTTAAAACAATAAGATAATATTAACAGTTATTTCTAAAAACGAAATAGGTACTATCAAGAAATTTACAGATTCCCTATTAGTCACCTCATTATCGATTGCTTGAGAATCTTAAAAGAACGAAACTGCTGCATGAAATGCATGCTCTTTATACATACGTAATTTTTATTTTATTGTGAGGGTTTATGTTTTTGTTACCTTAAGAGTTATTTTCCATAAACAATTCTTTTAACCGTTTCAACTACGCAGATGGATCTCATAATTATATATCTGTTTAATGTAATAAACGTTAAACAAAAAAAAAAAACTTTTTACAAATGTGAATTAAATAATAAATCGTGTAAAATATTATTATTATTGTTTTTTATCAGTAAAACTATAGCTGTTGTCCTCAATTATTAAAATAAGTGTATATACAAGAGTATTAATACAATAAATTCATAAATAGATACTTTGATAATTTTTTGTATGCAACGACGATTTTGTCGAGTACAGATTGAATATCGTTTACTTTTAAGTATGTATTGCTTAAGTCAAAATATTGTTATTGTTTTATTGTTGTATAAATACTATTATAATCTTACCTTATCGCTGATAACACTGCGTGCTTTTCCTTGGCGGTTGTCTACGTGGTCCATTTTGGCCTTCAAAACTACGTACAAAATCTTCTAACAGTTCACTCTAATTTATAAATGCACATAAAATTATGTATGTTTAAGTTTTAAGATATTTCCTAGGAAAGATAACGTAAAACGCTGCGTATCTCTTCTGTATTCTTGCATTGCATTGATCAGTTCACCCCTAACCATGCGCAGATGTGGCGAGATTTTGCGCCGGATCAGGGTTTAAACATACGGGGTGAATTAATAACTATCGAAATATTGTATAAAACGTGTAGAAAATATTAAAATATTTTACAGTAATTAATTTTTGAGATAGGTTAACGTTTTAATGACAGATATAGATGACAATATTGCTGTACAAGGGGGTTAGTTTAAATAATGGGTACCACCATTAGTACAAATTTATTGTACTTTTACTTTTAATAGAAATTGTCCAATTTATTCGTTGTCATTATAGTTAATCAAATTCGGTTTCTTGTTACTTCTTATTTTCGTGAAGTTTTTTACACCAATTAGGGGTTATTCATAAAGTACGTTCGCATATGAGGGGGGAGGTCTAAGGAAACGTGACGTTCGCATTTCATTAAGTTTATCTTAACTTGGCAGTTCTTAAAATTTTTTATCAAGATAAAGCCATTCTCACAAGAAATTGTTTATAGAGGGGAGGGTCGACTAGCTTTTGTGACGTAATATTTGTTAGCGGGGTCGTTGCAAGTATGACTAAGGGGGAGAGAGGAGTCCAGAAATATAAAACTCTGAGATACGTATTTTGTGGATGACTCCTTCCCAACTTACAGTTTAAAATAAAACTTAAGATTTAGTATTCGTGTAATAGCTTTTATTTAAAAATATTGTTAACAAAAAGTTTGCAATAAGCATTGATCAATATAATAATTAGAACGACATGCCTTTAAAAATTATAACAGCCCTTTGAATTAATATGTACATTTTGTTTAAAACAAAATTACACCAAGGAGAAACCTTCAGTCTGTTTGATTGCCTGTAATAACTTGTACTTTAGCCGTTCTTTCGTTTTGTATCTGGGTAAATCTAATAAATTAAAACAAGTGTGGGCTACTGGCAAGTATTTGTCGTCAGTAGTGGGCTGAATATAAATCTACAATACAAAAAATAAATAGACTCGTATTAGAACAGGATCATAAAGTCAATACTGTACCTTAATAGCTTTCATTCCTTGTATAGGAATTCTATCGCTTCCGGTAAGAAAAAGTAAAAATTTCTTTTTATCTTCTACAGGAATTTCATGTATGACTTCCCAGAACATTCTAATTGTAGGATCTGATGAGGTGTAGCCATTTTTATATTCCGCTGCTTCTTCTAGAGCGTGCCAGTCGTAGTTTTCGTTTCCCACCACGACCGCTTGCAACTCGTGGGAGTGGAAAAGCTGCAGTACTCGGCCCCCACAAACTTTCAAAAATCCGTTCGAAAATGCCTGATACTGACTTTCCACTGATTTATTGAAAATATAATCCACGTACAGATTAACAAATTCTTCCCTTAAGAGAAAAATAAAATTGGCTTATTATTAATTATTCTTTTCTGTTGTTAATTAAAACAGATAATATGTATAAAAGTTGGAATTATAAAAGGAAGTTAGATAAAGACTAGATTAGATTGTTGTTTGAAAATAGTCAGAATAGGTAGGGCGGAAGGAGTGGAGGTGAATGTCCAACCCGTAGTGGTGTTAGTTAAAAAGACATTTTGTATTTACTTGTTTTCTTGTGTGACAGGGATTTTTTCTCCATTTGGTTTTAATGGCACAGTAACATGATGACCAAATATTTCCCTCGTAATTTCAAAATTAAGCCCGAATACTTCTTGTACATCTGGCTCTTCATAATCCAATAATGACTTCAACGAGTTCGCCATAGTGGGGGAAAGTCCTTTTAAATCAGCAAGACCAATCGGCTCGTGTAACAATTTTTTATAGAGCGCAAGAGGGAACGAAATGTTTATAATTGTAAAATTATAAATTGCTAAACCACATATAATGCCTGCAATATATTCGGATATAAATTAAGGATTAGGTTAAAAATTGAGGATGTAGTTTATCTACCGATAAGTAGGTACATCACGTTGTCTTCGAATGGTTGCTCAGAAAACCATATCGTCCTAGTTTCGTCGTAATATTGAAACATACCATACTTTGGGTCTAGTATTTCTCTAAGAACTAGCATAAAAAATTCTTTTTTTACTCCACCAGCATCTTCAGCCTCTTCACCGTGAAATTTCACCTATTGGAATTATTTTTCACATGATATGGCAAAATAAATTTAACTTTCACACAGAATAACTGTATGGTACACAAGTGTACTTAATTCTCTATTTTTGAGTGAGAGATGTTACCAAAGAATTTACGAAAACAAAACCATTGAATCTATCTATGTAGCAAACTGAGAAATTAATTTAATCCTTGATAAAAATATATAATTATTTAATTAATAATCTAGCAAACTAAATGAAAATTCGTGTTAGAATTTTGTAACTTAAAATCCCTTAAAAACTAGAATTAGGTGTAATCGTTATTTATCACCTTTAATGGTTTTTTGAGATCCGAGCTATTAACTTCCATTAATTCCCGTAAAGTGTCTTGCACTATATGCTCCCTAGATACATTTAAAAATAAAAACTGTCTAATAGCTTGCCTCCCACCTGTGAAAAATAAATTGGAAAATGCCTGTTGCGCAGCTGCATTCATAGCTGATTGCATCTAAACAATAAAAAAACAAATTGTAAAATTTAGCTGACACAGAACATCAATTAATTGTACCTGTATCGATTGATCAGCTTCTAAAAGTTGCGTTTTAGCCTGAGCATCAAATATAAAAGGATAATTACATAAAAATAATCTACCTGTCTGAAACAGAATTTTTTGAAAACTTTAGAAATAAAAATTTAACTTTTAATTGTTAAACTTACAGTAGCGTCATTTAACCACATCAAATAATCGATTCTGACATCGAGCGATTCGCCTATTTCCGGAATACAAAAAGTATCTGCTGGAACTTTAAAACCGTCTACTTCATAATTTAATTTATTTAAAAAAGCTAGAAGGTCAAGACTTGCAACCAGACTTGCATCATAAAATATTGTCTACAAACAGATTCGTTTTAATCTTCTCTGGGATTATTAAAATGTGGAAAACATCTTTCTTGGGATTCAAAGTTTTAAACAAATTAGAAAATTATATGTTGAAGAGTCTTTTTTTGTATTGTCTCGAACTCTTAGTTATTAGTAATTAGTAATATTATAACAAAGAGTTCTTGTGGTCTCGTGAATGGTTTATGTGAAAATTCGAAAAAGAAAAAAAAAACGTGAACGGTCGACTGGGTGAAAGAAAAAGTTAGAAAATGTTGGAAATAATGAGATATTGGAAAAACTTGAACAGAGGACTATGGAAATCAATAAGGAATAAGAAGCGCAGGATGGTACAAGACCTTCAAAGACATAAAAGGTTACTTGGAGACATATTAGTAGTAGAAACAGGAGTAATGAGGGGTAGAAGAAACCCTAGATTAGACAACAAATTAGTGTTCCTTCCGGCATTTTTACCTTATTTTCTGGAATTTTTTGGTTTCTTATCACAAATAGAGCGACTCCTTTAAATATCGAGACTAGTTTTTCAAAATAATCTGAAGAGGTAGTGGTGTACCAACATCTAATAACTCGTTGTGGTTGCTGTTTTAACTTAAGTAAGGCACTTGCAAAAGGCTTATGTAACTTAGGGTGATGTTTAGGATTTTGAAATTCGTGATAGAACGGTAATGTGAGGTATATTCTAAGGGCTTCGACATCTGGAGGTGACGGGACTAATCTACGTAAAAGATCTTCAGATACACCATTCCAAATCTGCAAGATATTTGAATATTTCTTATTTACTCTCATATTAACTACAACTTTAGTGTGTATGTATCACATCATATTTCTCTGTTTATGAAATAATATTATTCTAATAATTATTTTTACTTATAAAATAACTTACCAAATCTTTAATACTTTGTATATCAATTTTTGCTATAATTGAAAATGTTTTCTCTGCTTCCTCCAGATCAACACCATGCCTCTTACTACTGCAGGCATAGTGATCACCACTTTTAATCAAGAATGATCCATTTAAACAAGACAGACTTTTAAAAACCGTTTCAATATATGTGATCATGTCTTGGTCAACAGTGCCCTTTGAAGAGACTCTGAACAAAGATTTAAGATGTTCACGGTTTAATGTTAAAATCTGAGTGTCTCGTGGATACACTCTACAATCATATGGACTTGAGTTTTCTCTGGTGGTAACCGTCGCAAAGCAATGATCGCCACCGGCAAAAATTCTTCTAATAATAAACGATCCTTTTGGATGTTTTTCCTCTGCTGAAGAGCCTCTGGGTGATACCCACTGGCCATGAACTACCTGAGGAACTAAAGAACTACCCGTTTTCCGAATCCCTAGTTGCCCTGATCCACCTAAACCGAAACTGTATATGCGGCCCCTTGAAGGGACATAGGCTAATGTGTGACGTTTTCCACAAGCTATCTGAGAGACAGTAGAACCCATCAATTCTAAAATCTTTAATTCAAGATATAACAATAAACAACCCATTACCTCATTAAATTAATTACCTTTTTTGGCAAAATTTCGTCTACATTGTTCCCATGTCCTAGCTGTCCATACATACCTGCTCCACAAGTAAACACACCTCCATCGAGGGTGAGAAATGTGGAAAATTCTTCTCCACAGCAAATATACCTGACTTTAATATTCCTTAAAGTTCTTAACTGTGTAGGGAATGATTTTGAAGTGACATCATTTAAACCTAATTGCCCCCTTGTGTTGTTTCCTTGTAAATTGAAGTACATCAACAAAATCTCAAGTAACTCTTAAAAAGCCTTACCCCACCCAAATACAGCACCAGATTTTGAAACTACAAGTGTATGATAAGAACCACAAGCTAAAAAAGCTATTGGTATCCCATCAATTGATGGTACCTGGGTAGGTGATGGTTCAGATGGTGAAACTGTTCCAATTCCTAACTGACCAAAGTTATTTGCCCCCCAGCAATAAATTTCCCCATCTGTAAAATTATGAAACAAGTTTTAATTTCCTTTTCAGTTTATAACATGTTTATAATTGACATGCTTTAGAACTTACTAATTGTTAAGGCAGCAGAATGCCTATAACCACATGCTATCTGCACAACATGATGTGTGGCTAAGGCTTTCAATATTTTTGGAACCGGTTGCATACTTTGGCCAAGTTGATGTCCCAGTTGTCCGTATGTATCTGAACCCCATGTAAAAATCTGGCCCCATTGATTTAATGCCATGGAGTGTGTAGCGCCGCAAGCAATGTGAGTAATAGTTTGGGCTTCCAAGCTTTTTACTAAGTCTTTGTGACAATAACAATATCAACAATCAACAAGTTGTTTATATGTCTATACTTCACAGAAATCTTTCAATGTTTTACACTTACTTGGTCTTTTTCTGGGTTGATCATGACCGAGTTGGCCGTAATCGTTACTTCCGCAAGAGTAAACCTTTCCTTCATTTGTGAGAATTAATGTGTGGTTGTCACCACAAGCAACTTCTACAATTTGGTCTGCCAAAGGCCAATCCACCTGAGTAGGAGTTAAAACTATTTCCTGTTCAATACCACCTAATCCTAATTCACCATGAATAGTACTTCCCCAAGCAAACATTTTTCGTTAAACGTGCACAATTTAATAATTTTGCTAGCAAACTTTTGTCCACTACGAAATCATAACCTCAAAACGATTTGCAGTATATACAATGGTAGTTACTAGTACATCTACTTGGTTAAAAGTTTAGCAATAATTACTGATAATTTTATCGTTTCTTGGTATTCTCAAACACAAATAGCCAGTAATCGCATGTTGATAATTATAGGTTACACTATTTTTTTTGTGGTTAGGTTTTGAACGATAGAATTTTGATTTGTCAGTTCTGAGTATGTCTAAAGTAACAGCAATTTGCGAGATCTATCTAGCTGTTATAACACTAAAGAATTTCTCATGTTTTACTGCAAACTTAGTACACTTGCCGTATCAGTAACTGTAATAATTTCTTACACACATATTGCATCTACCTACGTATGTCGTACATGTACAGGCACAGAAACTAATTTATGAATTGTAAAACAATTATGANGTCAGTTCTGAGTATGTCTAAAGTAACAGCAATTTGCGAGATCTATCTAGATCAAAAGTTATAACATAAATCAATCGTAATATAAATCCTGAAATCGTCTTTTTATAAAAAAAGATTAACTGCTTTGAAAAGGTAGTACAAATATAAAGCAGTGCAAACTATGAAGGAAAGGTTCTTGTTAATAAATAGTCATTAACAACTTGTTAAAGCTTTTACTATTTTCCTGTTTGTGTAGATACTACAAGGTTTGTTTGTTTTATATATGTGATGAGTTGGTATTTGTCTATGGTTAGTATTTTTGCAAAATACTATACGAATGTATTTATTACATGCCCTAAAAATTAATATTAAAGCAATCAATAAATTTACAGTTGTATTTAATTTTAATACCAAAAATATTAATCATTAGTATTGAAAATTGTAGTGTCCCAATGGCAAATTCACTTAACAATATCCCATACTCAAAAAATGGGGATAAATCACAAGATGAGGTTAGTTCCAGTTAAGACGAATATTTTTAAAATTAACAATAAAAAAAACAATTGCTTTGTATAATCTAAAACGCTTTTTGTATTGCTTTTCGTGTGTAATTTTGTAAATGCATACCTTTAATTGTACACCGTTTAATAAATGTTAATTGTCCCATTTCANCAGAATTATGTGAATGCTAACGTAATTTTACTAATGGAAAAAGTTACCGATTTGTAGATTAATGTAGTTACCATTCGCTTGTTAGTGAAATTTTAATTTTCCTTTCAGAATCGTCCTCTAATATTTCCAACAATATTTTAAAATATAAGACGTTTTATTATGCTATTTTTTCATTCAGATATTTCACCGTAAAATTTAATGATCCGATAATTATTTTCAATTTTATTTAATTTCTGCATTTTTTAACTTCTGTGATGAAATTGGACAGTTATTAATAAAATTTATCAATTTATGCCAAGTTGAGCCAGTGCAAACAGGAATGAAAAATTTTAGTATGGTCTCCGCGTTGCCACTTTTCATTATAATCTCTCGTTAACTTATAAACTGGCGTAATTTTAAACGAACCGAATGAGTGTTGTCTTTTCCTACCGTAATGTCATGAACCTAAACAATTAAATAAAACTATTCTTCGTGAATAGATTCAAATTAGAAAAGGAAATTAGTAAATGATTAATAATCATAAATTAGGGAAAAAAGAGCTGTAGCATCGGCAGAGGTTAGAAGCCAGTACCGTCTGCATAGCAGTCGACTGTTGATACCACACGGCCATTTCCATTTATTGATGCTCGTCCTGCATGATAACCTAACACGACGCTGGTCTCTATCAGACATTTGTTAGTTGTTATGCGGTGGAAATTGTCGAATTTGGACGAAATTTACCCAAACATAAGAATAAATTGGCTGCGCTTGCTAGCCACTTTGTATATTATAGTAAAGTTACTTAAGCTTTTTTGTTTTCTGGGATAATTCTTAGATTTATGTGTAATCGTATATAACATAATGTGCTCGGTTATAATTTGGCTAGTTTTAGAACTAAATTACTTACAAACACCATCAAGGACTGTGCTATAAAGACTTGAGCTTTTTCAATATCAAGATAATAGTCCATTAAGTAAATGGCTTTGTTAAATCCGCACTACATAAAATTTTATGATGTTGTTAGTTACAGTTATTAATTATTATATTAGTCGTATGGCGAAAAGTTCATGAAGTGTCTAATCACATGTTTCTCCCCGTGTTTTAATCAAGTTAAATTAATTTTATAACAGAATTAACAGCTCGCAGCATCCACTTCTCCTTTTTTAGTCCGTTAATTCCTCAACAACATTAAGTATTTACCTAATATAAACGTGTGTTACATTATTACACATCTGTGACTTAACCAGTACTTACACGTTTAGGTAGTGCTTATATTAAATAAATTGGAACATAATTCTCTTTAAGTAGGTAAAAGTTTTTTGCTGCCAAATGAGTGGTTTATACCAAAGTTTCAAAGTGAGAGGCTTCCGACGTATGTGCATTTGCAAAATGAGCGCCTTATTTTTGAACCGTGGAAATATATGTTTTGGTCATGCGCATTCTTGAAATCGTTTGCGATTGGTTGATTTTAAAGCATTTATTTTTTAAAATTGTGAAGCTAGACTAGATGGGATGTAGAAAAACCTTATCAAATTGATCATTCTAGAAGCTACTACAACCCTACACTTATCTCCTTCAAGTTCCGGGAAAGAACATCAGGGCGAAATTATCCAAAGCTTTTAACTATTGGTTAAAAGTACCGGCTGACAAACTTTCTGCAATCGACAATATTGTCCAGTTACTTCATAACGCTAGTCTTCTGTACGTAATACATTGTTCTTTTACAAAAAATACGAATTTTGTGTACAATAAAATATATATTTCAGTTTGGACGACATACAAGATAATTCAGTGTTGCGCAGGGGATTACCCGTCGCCCATTCTATTTATGGAGTACCCAGCACGATAAATGCTGCCAATTACGTGCTATTCATTGCTTTGGAAAAGGTCATCGAATTAAACCATCCTGAGGTAGGAAAATTTTTTTATTATTTTTAAAAATTTAATATACAGGGTGTCCTTTGATGATCTGCTAAATCGGTATATAATCTAATACAATTAGAAGTACTAATAAAAAATGTGATGTGTCAATTATTTAATTAAAATCTTACCTGCTCAATTTTCTAACACAAAATTTATTGCAATTTCCTAATTTTTACTAAAAATTTAATTAAATAAATGTAGTTACATATAAATAATTTACCACCAAACATTATACGTATATACCTAGTTATTTATCGTATATTAGTGTTAACTTATCTCACTGCTTATTGTTCTCGTTCGCGTACTATTTACATCAGTTTGTTTATATTGACTGTCTGTATACTAGTCGTATATCTGTTCTGTTATGAAATATTCTTCATTATTTCCGGAAACTTCTCGGAAGTTCCTTTTCACATCCCTTTTGTCCGCTGTCGGCATTCGGATTCATCAAAGGTGCCACCGGTATCGATAGCTTGCGGCATTCGTTCATGTTTTTTTAAGAAATGAAACTGCAAAGGCTTCCGCAACTATTGTTAGATCTAGATAAAAATCCAGAAACTAAATAAAAACTTTCTGGTACATACATATATGACATAGATTTATAACTTAAGGAAAAGGCGAGCAAGCAGATTCTTAAGACTTTAGTGTTTGCTTTGCTTGTCGCGCTTTTTCGGGTTAATTTAGTTTGTGGAACATCCTTTTAATGTAATCTCCCAGGAACCGTGCTGTGAAGTCGAGTTTGCTTCATTTCCGGAACTTCTTTAACAGAATTATGTGAATGCTAACGTAATTTTACTAATGGAAAAAGTTACCGATTTGTAGATTAATGTAGTTACCATTCGCTTGTTAGTGAAATTTTAATTTTCCTTTCAGAATCGTCCTCTAATATTTCCAACAATATTTTAAAATATAAGACGTTTTATTATGCTATTTTTTCATTCAGATAATTCACCGTAAAATTTAATGATCCGATAATTATTTTCAATTTTATTTAATTTCTGCATTTTTTAACTTCTGTGATGAAATTGGACAGTTATTAATAAAATTTATCAATTTATGCCAAGTTGAGCCAGTGCAAACAGGAATGAAAAATTTTAGTATGGTCTCCGCGTTGCCACTTTTCATTATAATCTCTCGTTAACTTATAAACTGGCGTAATTTTAAACGAACCGAATGAGTGTTGTCTTTTCCTACCGTAATGTCATGAACCTAAACAATTAAATAAAACTATTCTTCGTGAATAGATTCAAATTAGAAAAGGAAATTAGTAAATGATTAATAATCATAAATTAGGGAAAAAAGAGCTGTAGCATCGGCAGAGGTTAGAAGCCAGTACCGTCTGCATAGCAGTCGACTGTTGATACCACACGGCCATTTCCATTTATTGATGCTCGTCCTGCATGATAACCTAACACGACGCTGGTCTCTATCAGACATTTGTTAGTTGTTATGCGGTGGAAATTGTCGAATTTGGACGAAATTTACCCAAACATAAGAATAAATTGGCTGCGCTTGCTAGCCACTTTGTATATTATAGTAAAGTTACTTAAGCTTTTTTGTTTTCTGGGATAATTCTTAGATTTATGTGTAATCGTATATAACATAATGTGCTCGGTTTTAATTTGGCTAGTTTTAGAACTAAATTACTTACAAACACCATCAAGGACTGTGCTATAAAGACTTGAGCTTTTTCAATATCAAGATAATAGTCCATTAAGTAAATGGCTTTGTTAAATCCGCACTACATAAAATTTTATGATGTTGTTAGTTACAGTTATTAATTATTATATTAGTCGTATGGCGAAAAGTTCATGAAGTGTCTAATCACATGTTTCTCCCCGTGTTTTAATCAAGTTAAATTAATTTTATAACAGAATTAACAGCTCGCAGCATCCANTTTATCGTTAAGTCCAGTTGAAACTTCTTGACATCGTTATTAAATTAAGTTCATAAAATGTTTCTTTCTTTTTCTATTTAAAATGCTGATGGAGTACTTTAATATTTATTAAAATGACACTAGTACCCATCTTAAATACCGTTTGATAGTAGAGGTGATTGATTCTGTTTGTCCATTTGTCAGAAAAATCCAATATTCGCATTATTAACATCCTATTGGTGTAATTTCTTTCAATGCTGTCTTGTCATCGATATGATTATTTTCGGTAGCGTTATTGAATGTGCCCTGTATCGATTGTCGCCTGCGGCATTTGTTCAGAACACCAGGTTTGTGGACATTGAAATTGACAATTAAATTAATTTACATTCTCTGAATGAATAAATGGTTTTGTGTTAACAGATTTATCTCAAAAAGGATTATATCAGACATTTGTTAGTTGTTATGCGGTGGAAATTGTCGAATTTGGACGAAATTTACCCAAACATAAGAATAAATTGGCTGCGCTTGCTAGCCACTTTGTATATTATAGTAAAGTTACTTAAGCTTTTTTGTTTTCTGGGATAATTCTTAGATTTATGTGTAATCGTATATAACATAATGTGCTCGGTTTTAATTTGGCTAGTTTTAGAACTAAATTACTTACAAACACCATCAAGGACTGTGCTATAAAGACTTGAGCTTTTTCAATATCAAGATAATAGTCCATTAAGTAAATGGCTTTGTTAAATCCGCACTACATAAAATTTTATGATGTTGTTAGTTACAGTTATTAATTATTATATTAGTCGTATGGCGAAAAGTTCATGAAGTGTCTAATCACATGTTTCTCCCCGTGTTTTAATCAAGTTAAATTAATTTTATAACAGAATTAACAGCTCGCAGCATCCACTTCTCCTTTCTTAGTCCGTTAATTCCTCAACAACATTAAGTATTTACCTAATATAAACGTGTGTTACATTATTACACATCTGTGACTTAACCAGTACTTACACGTTTAGGTAGTGCTTATATTAAATAAATTGGAACATAATTCTCTTTAAGTAGGTAAAAGTTTTTTGCTGCCAAATGAGTGGTTTATACCAAAGTTTCAAAGTGAGAGGCTTCCGACGCATGTGCATTTGCATACATGTTGCGGAGGTTGTATTATTAGATTATTACGGTTTAATATGTATGAGGTTGTTCTATGTATGTGAGTATAATTATGTAGAATACCTGAATATTAAAGGCTTTATTACATTCAGGAAATTATATATTTTTGAAATAAATCTAAATGAAAGAATTGAGGAATTTGTGCTGAAGTTCAGCTTCCTGTTCCAAATCAAATAAAAAATTGGCAAAAGGCTGTAATAGTACCTCCAACAAAGGTTTTGGAATTCTCAATCTCATATATTATTCACTAATACTCATCATCATAAGGTCGTCAGTCCTAAGACTGGTTGGACACGCACCTCCACTCCTTCCTATCTTCAGCTAATCTTTGCATTTCCCTAAAACTATAATATCCCACATCCTTAACTATTTGCGAACATTAATCTAATCTAAGTCTACCTCTACCCCTTCCAACTCCCGTTTCTGCCTCTAATATGTGTCCTACCAACCTATCTTGGTAAATGGGCGCCAGGTTGGGACTATACGGAGGGCGATCAATTTGTTTCCAGCGAAAAACAATGCCATCAGACCTTAAGTTTCAATTGCCGCGTGTGGACGGGTATTGTTAGAAAGCAGATCATTTCGCTGGGAATATCTTGGTCACTCAGCGACTACGTAACGCATATTCCTGTATTTGAAAGTGTTCAGCACAACAACCACGACGACGATGAGCTCAAAATGGCCGTACTACAACGGTTATCAAATAGAGCAGCACACATGTATGTTCGATAAGTTGTCATCATCATAAGGTCGTCAGTCCTAAGACTGGTTGAACACGCACCTCCACTTTTTCCTATTATGTCCTAATCTACGCATTTCCTTAAAACTCGAACAACCCATATCCTTAACTATTTGCGAATAATAATCTAATCTAGGTCTACCTTTACCCCTCCTAAGTTCCGTTTCTATCTCTACTATGTCTCTGACTAGACCTTCATGCCTGAGAAGGTGTCCTACCAACTTCTGTCGCCTATTTCTTATTGACTTCCATAGAGTCCTCTGTTTTCCTATTCTTTCTAATACTTCTTCATTTCTAACCTTCTCTTTCCACGGTATCCTCATCATTCGCTTNAAAGGAAATTAGTAAATGATTAATAATCATAAATTAGGGAAAAAAGAGCTGTAGCATCGGCAGAGGTTAGAAGCCAGTACCGTCTGCATAGCAGTCGACTGTTGATACCACACGGCCATTTCCATTTATTGATGCTCGTCCTGCATGATAACCTAACACGACGCTGGTCTCTATCAGACATTTGTTAGTTGTTATGCGGTGGAAATTGTCGAATTTGGACGAAATTTACCCAAACATAAGAATAAATTGGCTGCGCTTGCTAGCCACTTTGTATATTATAGTAAAGTTACTTAAGCTTTTTTGTTTTCTGGGATAATTCTTAGATTTATGTGTAATCGTATATAACATAATGTGCTCGGTTATAATTTGGCTAGTTTTAGAACTAAATTACTTACAAACACCATCAAGGACTGTGCTATAAAGACTTGAGCTTTTTCAATATCAAGATAATAGTCCATTAAGTAAATGGCTTTGTTAAATCCGCACTACATAAAATTTTATGATGTTGTTAGTTACAGTTATTAATTATTATATTAGTCGTATGGCGAAAAGTTCATGAAGTGTCTAATCACATGTTTCTCCCCGTGTTTTAATCAAGTTAAATTAATTTTATAACAGAATTAACAGCTCGCAGCATCCACTTCTCCTTTTTTAGTCCGTTAATTCCTCAACAACATTAAGTATTTACCTAATATAAACGTGTGTTACATTATTACACATCTGTGACTTAACCAGTACTTACACGTTTAGGTAGTGCTTATATTAAATAAATTGGAACATAATTCTCTTTAAGTAGGTAAAAGTTTTTTGCTGCCAAATGAGTGGTTTATACCAAAGTTTCAAAGTGAGAGGCTTCCGACGTATGTGCAT